ATAGATTTTTATTGATTTCAGAGAGGAAGGGAGAGATAGAAACATCAACGATGAGAGGGAATCATTGATTGGCTGCCTCCTACATACCCCCTACTGGGATCGAGCCCGTAACCCAGGCATGTGCCCTTGACCAGAATTGAACTCGGGACCCTTCAGTCCACTGGCCAACACTCAATCCACTGAGCCAAACCGGCTAGGGCAGGGGTGGGCAAACTTTTTGACTCGAGAGCCACAATGGGTTCTTAAACTGGACCGGAGGGCCGGAACAAAAGCATGGATGGAGTGTTTGTGTGAACTAATATAAATTCAAAGTAAACATCATTACAAAAAAGGGTACGGTTTTTTTTTTTTTAGTTTTATTCATTCCAAACGGGCCGGATCCAGCCCGCGGGCCGTAGTTTGCCCACGGCTGACCTAGGGCCAGGGGGAAGGGAACAATGGGGACATTATTGTTTAATAGGTATGGAATTTGAGTTTGAGATGATGAAACATTCTGGAGAATGGACAGTGTTCATGGTTGCACAGCAGTGTGAATGTATTTGATGCTGCTGAACTATACGCTTAAAAATGGTTAATAGGGAAAATTTTATGCTAGGTATATTTTACCAGGATTTAAAAAAGTAAAGTAAACCAGTGAGATGCACCTATGAAAAAACAGTGGTACAATCTGGATGTACAAGGCAGGATGATGTCTTTTTGCTGTTATTTTCTTTTCATTTTTACCTATTTATTTACTAGCTACTTATTTAAAATTTACTAGATAAATTGTATCTAATATAGTCATTCTTAAGTCTTAGAGTTATTTCTTAGAGTTACTGTAGATATTTATATGTTATAGATTACTACCATAGGCCAATTTGGAACAGAAGATTCTAAGTACACTTCCCTGTAGATTCTGTCTTAAGGAGGGGCATTCTTTATTAATTAATGTTTTTGGCCTTTTGTCTTACTTTAACCTTTGACATCTCCAATTCGTGCAGCAAATATTTATTGTGTGCCTACTATAATGTTGGGGGCATTGGGACTGTAGCAGTGAACAAAACACAAATAATCCTGTCTTAATGGAGCTTACATTCTAATGTTCTTCATTTCCTTATTGTAAAGAAGTTTTTGTTTCATGAAAATCATTTGAGAATTTTTCAGCAACTTTGATTAAACCATAGGCATGTAGTACCACACTCCCTAAATCAGGAGCTGATGTCCATACTCATTAGTCCTAATGTGTCTTTCTTCTTACAATTTCCATAGGTTAATATCATTCTCTACAGAACAGATTATTATCATTATTATTATTAAATGCCCAACAGACATTTTAAGTTAAAGTTCAGACTTACAATATAGAGCTTATTCGACTGATAGATTATACGTATTTATTTTTTTAAATGGTTAAGTTACCATGCTGTTTTAACTTCTTAGAGACTGTCCATGTTACACCGATATTTGATGCTGTTATTTCTGACTTTAATGAATCTTTTCTTTGCCATTTATGTAATAGAATATGATTTTGGAAAGTTATTTAAATTGTATATAAAATAGAGTGGTACTACTTCCTGTAAAACAACGAGTGCTTTTCCTTATACTAGCGTTAGTTCCCCTTTTCTTTTCTTTTCTTTTCTTTTCTTTTCTATCACATTCTAGTTGTTTCTTTACCACGGGCCGTAGTTTGCCCACGGCTGGGCTAGGGCAACTGTATGCTTTTAAATACACATATTTTTATTAATTTGGTCTTAATTAGACTTAATGAAACATACCAGGTTCACGGTAGAGTCAGGTTTAGACTGAAATGAAAATTTAGACCTTAAAGAGTAAGAAATCAGAGTTTTGAGTTTGAAAAACTAAACCTTTAAATTCAGCATACACTTATATAATGAACATTCTTTCAGTATAACTTAATTTCTTATTCTATTTTTCAGTTGAATTATCCTTCCTAGGTTTAAGAGGAAGAATAGTTCTGAAGATTATTACATTTTAGGGACATATGTATACATGTGTAATAGATAACATGTGCACCTGCTTTTAAAAACAAACAGTATAAGAGTATAATAGTGACAAGTCTTCCTTCAACCACTAGTCCTGTGCCCTCCCATGGAGGAACTCATTACCAGTTATTTTTATATTTTTTCTGAGAGATTTCCCATATAGATAAATTAATGTAATAGCTGTATTTCAGGGATCATTTCTAAGACCTTTGCCTTAAATATGTTGGGCTTTTTTTTTTCTCTGCATGATATATATTATATACTGTAAATTACTATTGTTAAATTACATGGGATTCATTTGAATATGTGGCAGTTTTATATCAGAATTTTGTTGTTACTCAACAAAGCAAAAATGTAAGTCTCAAATTTAACTGATTGCTTCTAATATTTACAAGTACGTTGACTTTTAATTTTTAAATTTTATTTTAAAATTGTATTTATTTCCCCCCATGTTGAGAGACTGTATCAGGAAATGAAAGTCTCTTTTGTATTTTAAGTAAAACATTTCTCTTTGACATTGTAGCCATTAACAAAAAATTTCATGAACAGAGAAGCCTGTTTGTACACCATTGTGTAGGCCTCTGGTGCAAGTGGCCAATTTTAATCTTTCCTTCCTATCTACTTTTTTTTTAATTTAATTTTTTATTTATTGATTTGAGAGAGAGAAGAAGGGGGAGAAAGAGAGAAGAGAGACACATCAATTTGTTGTTCCACTTACTCTTATGCATTCATTAGTTGAGTCTTATATGTGCCCTGACCGGGGATTGGACCTGCACCATGGCGCATCGGTAGGCCCCTCCAGACAACTGAGCCTACCCTATGTGCCCTGACGGGGTCGAACTCTCAGCCTTGGTGTATTGGGATGATGCTCTAACCAACTGAGCTACCTTCCCAGGGCCCTATCTACTTTTTCATCTTGAACCTCGCATTGCCAAGATAAAAGATTTATCAAAGTAAGGACAATAATTCTTAGCTTGGGGTCTTTGTTTCTGAGGAGTCTGTATTTTCTGAAAGGTACCTTCAGTGATAACTCTCCACTAATTAAGAAGTGAAGATTATGTCATTTCTCCCCAAATTGATCTATAGATTCAACTCAATATCAATCAAAATCCCGTAAGACAAATAGATTCTAAAACTTACAAGAGAATCAACTTGGAGGCCTCACATAAAGCCATTATATTTATCAAAGTGTGGTAATGGTTTAAAGATACATAGATATATTCATGTAACAGAATAGAGTACAGAAACACATCAACAGATGAACAGTCTTTTTAAAATAAAAGTGCCAAAGCAATTCAATTGGAAAAGTATTTAAGAACTTGATACTGAAACAATTGGATAATGTATATATTTTTTTAAAGAAGAACCTAACTGCTACCTGACACCATACATTAAAAAATTAATTTGAGATGGATCATAGACCTAAACATAAAAGCTAAATGTCTTCTGTTTTTATAAAAAAATATAGGGAGATTTTAAATTTTAATGAAGTCAAATTTATCAAAGTTTTTTCTTGTGTTTTTTGTATCCCCTGGAAGAAGTCTTTGCCTACCCCAAATAATAAAGGTACCTCCTTACAAGCTTCCATTCATTCCGTGTTTTGATTTTTCCTGGTTGCCTCAGAGTGCTGTGTTTATTAATTCTCATTTATTCAGAAAACACTGATTAATTACTTATCATATATAAGGTTTTTAACATATAGGGTTGGGCCAAAATAGGTTAACAGGTGTTCATACTGAAAATAACGCAATAATCCTATCTAATAAAGAGGTAATATGCAAATTGACGATCATTCCAACACAGAGATGGCTGCCCCCATGTGGTCAAAGATGACCAGCAGGGGAGGGCAGTTGGGGGCAATCAGGCCAGCAGGGGAGGG